GAAGTTACACTTGTCACATCGAGGAAGGGTACCAGCATACCTACTGGTAGGTGTTTGAGCTGTAGAAACGGCAGCAGAAACAGTAACGGGGGTAGTAGCAGCATGGACTGCCACAGTTTGCTGCTTCTTGGAAGATCCTTGTGAACTCTGAATCTTCCGTTTGCTCCAGGTTTTCTTCTTATTTTCACTGCTCCCTTTAGCCAGTTCAGGAGCAGTGGTCACTTGCTCGAGGTCGTCACCATGGTTAATCAAAGTTTGCGCTAGGCATTTGTCGCTATTGTAGGTGTCTGGCTTTGCAGCCAAAACATTACCCTTGGTTGGCTGGGTTAACCCCCAGATAAATCTCTCAATCTTTTTACTCTCCGGGGTTACCATTCCCGGACAGAGAAGTGCCAAGTCATCAAATCTGGAAGTGTAAGTGGCAATATCAGAACCCTTCATTTTCAGGTTCCAGATTTCGTGCTCTTGCTTCTGCATTTCGCCCCGAGGGTAGTATTCTGCAAGTAGAAGCTCCTTCATGTTCTTCCAACCCATAGCATTGGCTATAGGTAGGGTTAAGGATTTGACTCGGCCATTCCACCAAGTCAGGGCTTTATCGGTGAAAGTGAAAGCGGTGAACTTCACCTTGTCGGATTCAGAACATGCACAGATTTCGAAGATAGATTCAATTTTCTTGAACCATCGAGTTAGGGTAATGATACCTCCAGTGCCATTAAAGGGCGTGGGTTTCGCGTTCATAAAATCTTTGTAGGAACACTCTTTTCAATGTCCCTGGCTACCTTCTATGTTTTGAGGCTGAGTCCCACCTCCTGGCCCGCCTGAACCACTAGGGTTCATTTGTGACATGGCAGCAGCCACATCAGCAGTAACAGCTACTTGGAATATGGCGGGATCAAATGGAGAGGAAGGTGGTGGTGGAGGAGTATTGTTGTTCTTTGAGCTGGGTCTTTTCTTTGCAGGCATCTTGATCTAAAATAGGCACGAAAGAGAGAATCATAAGTCCTCTGAATTGAATCAAGAGATATAGAACAAGAGATATCTTATTATGACAGGTATAGAGTTCTATAAAGCGATAAAACAGGAAATAGTTATCAAAGCAGATAAATTATCGCTAAGGAAGGAACGTTTAGCAACACTCCAAATGAATTTCTACAACGTATTCAGTTTTGGCTAAAATACTCCCATAGTATTTTATGTTTCGCTGCAACGATGAATCATTGTTTTGATATTAGGTAATTTTAGGCATGTTGTACATCACAGTCACTCCCAAGCACATGTTGGTCGTGTCTCGAATGAATATAGTTGATCAGGCTATATTGACCCTAGACACGACTACATAACTGCCCAGGTTTAACCGCAGCTTACAACACTCAATTACTTATGTATTGTTCTACTCATAGTTATGGTTTTTGGCGATTAGTTAATCTTGTATACTTTTGAAAAATACTTATATTTTAAAGTATACTTTTAGTTCAGAGCACTTCGGCCCCTTAGTGTTTATATTCTTATACCATGTAAGGTTCGGTATACTTAGTTCACTATAAACAAGTGCTCTAATACCAATCTGTCACACCCCAAAACTGATGGCGGAAACGTTCCGGGGCGGAGGACGTCATGTAAAGTATCACAACCAATGTACATAGCAAGCATAGTAAACACAAAACATTACATTACATAGGAATATTTACATTTGTTTGAAAGTAAAGTAATACATGTTTTATCTATACATTAGTTTGAACAAAAGTAAGGACGTGTCTGTTAAAAAGCTCCGTCTTCTCCAAAAGATCGCGGGGTACCTGTCTAATGTGGACCAGAGAATACAAGCAGTTTTGAAATATCAGCATAAAGTTGGTGAGTTCATAAGCAGTTTGTTTCTGTAAAAGAATAAGTTTCCTTTGGTTTTCTGAAAAAGTTGTTATCCAAGAAAATCCCATATTTTCTTATAAGAAAAGTTTAGTTATCCATTTGTTATACAATCTGGTTATGAACAATTCAGTTATCCCAGGAAAAACCCTTATTTTCCTTAAAAGTTTGTATATGGTAATCGATTCGGAATGCAGTGTACAAGTATCTACCATACTTGCAGTGTTTAAGGAAGTATTATGAAAACCTGATTATCCTTGTAAAGAGCATTAGTTTTAACACGTATATAAAACTAATAGGTAAGTAGAAAAGTTTTCATAATATAAGTTGCAAGTTCCATAACCATACATTCGACTAGATAAGGCTCGTATTAGGCCAATATCGTTGTTATGACTTTTGTCACCCGTAGACCTATCGGTCCGACTGTAGCTAGCAGCCAGGTGCGGGGTAGTCAATCCCGTATAGATCTATACACTCAAGTCACATTCTCCCTCCAGGAGATTTTGGTTACAGGGGTAGTCCTACACTCTCGTATCCGGCGGAGTGTTACCAAGGACGTGTCTCCAATCTTAAGATTAATGAAATTTGTCCTTCATTCTCGTATCGTGTGGGAGTGTTACCAAGTACGTTAGAAAACCTAGTTGTCTAGTCCTCCACTCTCGTATATAGGGGAGTGTTACCGAGGACGTGTTGAAAGTTCTGAAGTTGATGCTTTTAAAATTAATTATGTGGAAAATCATTTGTGAAATATAAGATATAACATTTTATAATGAGTTTCACAAATAGTTTGAAAACTAACTCTACAAGTTTAACAGTTGGTTAATACGGTTTTTCCACCGTTAAAAGCATACGGAATATGAGACACTTCATACAAAATAATAGTTTGAGTACAAGATATTCTTGTACTTTTTCTTGTATTCCCCCCTGAAAACATTGAAAACATGGAAAAAGTGTAAGGGTATGAACTCACGAGTCGAGAAATGTGTCGGTTGGATGCTAAGTGCCAGTTCGGGGCTTGAGTACACGTGAGGTTCCTATGTAATTTGAAGAGATACATAATTGTATCTAATTAGACTTGGAACTACTAATTAGATAAGAATATACACTCTGAGGCACGAAAACATTTCATTTCAAGTGTTAGGAGTGATCCGGGTAGCATCTAAAGGTGTGTAGGGCCTAGATAAGGAGTTTACTCTTCAAGAGTAAGCCCTTAGGGGTGTTTACGGTCAAAATACCATATCCCCATGAGTTTACGGCCATAAACTCATGGTTGGTGTGTTCTTGGATGTTTAAAGGTCTTACAATGCACAAAGGAAGGTTCTAGGGTTGATTCCATATCTTAGGAAGTGATCGAGACTTGAATTGACCTTGGAAAAGGAGTTTATGGTTCTTGAATGGAACTTGGGGAGTTTACTACCGTAAACACATGAGTTTATGGCCGTAAACTCATGTTTGTCCATGAATCATGTGCTTTGGTGGTTGTAGGTTAAGCATACAAGGTTCTAGACTCAAATCTATGTCATACAAGGTGTTAAAGGCACTAAAACACTCCATTGAAGGTGTTTACGGTTTTGGGAGACCTTCCCAAATCGTAAACTCAAGTGTGACACATTTGTATATGTTTTGGTGCATCTCATGGAGTAATATAAGGTTCTAGGCACTCATGGAAGCCTTTGGAGGTGTTTAAGGGGCAATTTAACACCTTAAAAGGTGTTTATGGTCCTTGAAGATGTGTTTACGGTCTAAGAATGTTCTTGGGCCGTAAACTCATGTTTACTACCCAAATGATGTGATTTTGGAGCTCAAATCTCTTACATGCAAGTCCCACTACTAGAAAAACAGCCTTTTACGACGCTCATTGCGCGTCGTAAAAGGCTCAGACGACGCGCAAATGCGTGTCAAGGAAGGCCCTGTCATAAAGAGAGACGACGTGCTTTTGCGCGTCGTCTATAGACAACGCGCATTTAGGACGCTCATTTACGACGCGCAATTACGACACGCGTTTACGACACGCAATGCGTATCAAGGAAGGCCCTGTCATAAAGGAAGATGACACGCATTCGCGTGTCGTAACCTTACGACGCGCGTGTTAATGACACGCAATGCGTATCAAGAAAGCCCCTGTCAAGAAAGGCCATGTCATAAATGAAGAGGACACACATTTTTGCGTATCGTAAATTTAAATGTTTAAAAAAAATAAATTTATAGATTTATTAATTTTTAAATTAAATTTGCATTTAATTTCTCATAATAGAAATAAAATACCATATACAAAAAATACAATCCATTGCATAATATAAAATAAAATTTCATACTCAAAAAATAAAATAAATTGCACAAATTGTAATGTCATACAAAGAATCATTCAAATGTTAAACAAAAATAATACATTGCTAACATGGGTTATACATTCCTATAAAACTAACAAATAATCATACAACTCTGTTTCTTACTGGAAAGGAATGCCAAACATGATTACAAGTCTCCCTTAATCTTGATTACTCACCTTCTTAAGTAGAATGTTGTTGTTGAGAAGGTTACCTAGCAACAGAGAAAAACACAACACCTCTCCCACAATCACAACATCATTTACAGAGAAAGGGTTGTCAATTACTTTCATTAAGACTTTCATTCAATCACAAAAATATTAAATAAAAGGGTGAAACAGTAACTTACTTTTGATAAGTTGATCTCCCTTAGAGCAAACACAGCTAAAGCATTGAACAAGACCCTATTTCAAAATTTTATAAATACACAAATCATGATACCTGATATTGGAATACACACTTTGAGACATGAATAAATACGAGTAGATTAACCTGGATACATAGGAAGTAAAGATGGAAGGTGCCAGAACTCCGGGGGCATTGGGTTGGTTCCTTCCCACTCGCACACACCAAGCCAGAACTCCACTTAATCCAGCACCAAAATAAGCCTGCATTCAGAAAGCTGCAGGGGTGAGTCACAATTCAAGAATCTGTTAAAATTTGAGGAATAACATGTTCAACCAAAACAATATTAGAAAACAGGGTTAAATGTGAAACATAGCAATGTAATAATTATCAAGGTGCTGGAATACTTGAAATCTAGATTATTTGCTTGTTTGTACATCCAGACGATTTTATCACGAACATAAGTCATGTTATCAACTTTCTGAAGAAGTATACCAAGACATTTGTAGGAGAAGAATACTCTCAATAAGATAATTTAATTAAAAAATGTAATGATAATGATAATGAGTTCATACCTGTGAAGTAGTGCAGAATGCTCATCATCATATGTATAAAGCTCATACTGCTTTGCAAAAGCATTTCCAAGAGAAATGACCCAATCAATGTCTTGAACAACATCCAAAGTTTCTGCAAGAAACTGCAAACAAAAAAAGAAATAAATAATAATGACATGAAAAGTAAGACTATCAGTCTATTACCTCAACAATAAAACAAAACAAATTATTATTAAAATCAAATAATGATAATACAAATTGTTACAAATTATGGGACAGCAGGGTCTTCTATGATGACATATAAAGCAGCCCTATTACAATATTACCCTTGTGGGACAGCATGGTCTTCTTCTATGATGACAAATTGTGGGACAGCAATACATGACTAAATGCATGTAGATTGATAAGGTTGTTTCTTTTTTACTTAATAAAATCAAAATGACTTGTCGTGCTAAGTGAGAGGTTGGTCACTTTATGTATTAAGACCCTCCCTATTACAATATTACCCTTGTTTATTTTTTTATTTTATTCAACTTTTGACAATCTCATGAAAAAGGCACTATCGACCTCGTTTTTTTTCAATGTTCACAGAATTTTAAGCAAAATGTTGGCATCTATTTACCTGTTGTTGTTTGTTTTAGAATTTGGAGAGAGAGAGAGAGAGAGAGAGAGAGAGAGAGAGAGAGAGAGAGAACCTTCATGCCTTTATGGTGTATAAAAGGAGGGCGCGAAAAGACAACCCAGTTACCATCCTAAGCAATTAGTGGTCCTAGACCATGTGAAAAACAGAGCTCATATCATAAGCTAATTTCATAAAAAGATATAAAAAGAAAGACTAAAGAGCCAGTACCAGTTGATCAAACCCATGACATCTTTTGTGTGCCCAATGAATTTGTTCATGACAAGTGGATCCGAAGGACATATTGCATTTGCTTGCAAAAAAACTATACACAACCAAAGAAAAATGAAATTACATCAAACCAAATAAAGAAAAGGGTATTTTAGACATTTTTTTAAGAATGTGGTATAGCAATTACTACCTGCTCAGCGAGTTTAGGTAAGTGACACCTAAAGATTAAAAACAAATAATTTAATCATATTACACTTTGATAATATTATCATTTTTTAATTTAAATAAAAGAAAAAAGTTAAATTACCCAGGAAATAAGCGTGCAGCAGTTCAATAACCAGACATAGCTTGATCATATGCTTCTTTGGGTGCATAAGCATTCCCATATCCTATCTAACCAGGGGCAAATATTCCTTCCAAGTTACCTGTAAGTGTTGTGATAGATTAATCAAAAATTAATTAATTAATCAAAAATCAAAAATAGGATGGAACCTTTTAAGTTACCTATTAAGTGTTGTGATAGATAATGGGCAAGAGCAGCTTCACCATGGAGGATTTTAGCGCCACTCCCAACTGCCTCCTCATCAACAACCACACCATCTATTATATCTTTACCTGTTCTTTCATTAGGAATTTTCATTACATTTATAAATTATCATTCTATTTCTATCATTTCATTATAAAAAGAAAAAAAATAATACAGTAGTAATCTTTAGACACAAACCTCATACATGACATTTCATAGAGTTGAACATTGAAGTAGTTTGTTGAACAGCTGTTTTTTGGTCCTCCTGTGATCAGACAACATAACAAGTCTTCATCCCAAATACACAATTAAAGATTTTTTTTTCTTAAAAAAAAAAAGAAAAGAAATAATATGGTTTTAGTTTACCTGGATGCTATCCTTCCCAATCCAACAGCACAGGTAGTGATCTTCTTTCTTTTCATCAAAATGGTAGGAGTAAAGACAAATATAGCAATCTCCACTGTAAAATTTTCAAATATCCTCCTTGGGTAATTCCGTCTTTTCTTCACCATCAATACGCCATACCTAAAGCGCCCACAATTATTTTATCTTTCTACATTAAATCTAAATGTAGCAACAAGTTTATGATCTGAAACCTCAATTTTTCCATTTTCTCCAAGCAAAGGTGGAACTTCCTCCTCTACATGAGCCGTTTTTGTCTGACCTTTGGCAAAAGCACCTTGTTGCTTCAGCGGAGCTAGTCATTAGAACAAGAGTAGAACTTAGGGTAAGTTTTAGAAAAAGTCAAAAATAGCCCTAGAAAACTCAAGCACCCATGTCCCATGTAACAAAAATATATATAAGATATAGAATGAATCTACCTGCTACTTTTCCTCTAGTTTCCTCAGGAGGTCAACTTAGGGTTCAAGAATGAATCTACGCCCACAGAGTAAATAATCCAACTCACTTGTAGAAAATATTTGTAAACTTGAAGCCTCAAAAACCTGATAGTAATAAGATAAAATATTAGCTTAAAAAAATTATTTTGTATATTTTCTAATTCCATAAACAATTTAGCATATTAGAATGTTGGAAAAAGATGATGACCTGATTAAAGCCAGCTCTAAATGCTTTCAATTGCCTTGTGATACAGAGAAAAGTGACTTTCCTGATGGAAGTCCAATATCTAAAATGAAAAGAAATAATAAAAAAAGTTATTTGACTAAATTAAAAAATATAATTTGAAAGAAAAAACTTGAAACACTTACTAAAACATCCTTTTGCATCATAACCAGAATTGAGTGCTTCGGATTGGAGGATTCCCATCATTTTTCTTGTTTCCTGTTCTATCATTGCTTGCTGGGAACAAGTTGATTGGTGGTTATCTTGGTGGAAAGGGCGTCTGGCTGAAGATGCTACAGGGGAGGAAGCATGGGCAATTCAGATCCAATTTCTGGAAACAAGTCTTGAGGACAAGACTTTTTGGAAGGCGGGAGTAATGATACGAATTGAGTATTGATGGGCCCAGATACTATTAAAGCAAAAGTCTTATAGTTTTTGTCTAGATGGCCTAATAAAGTGTAAAACAAGGAATTCACAGAATGCTGAGCAGCATTCTCTGCTTCTGCTTTAGAAACCTCTGGTGGTAATCCATAAGCAGCAACACCAGCAGCTGTTGTAGCAATCACTTGAGTCTGCAGCAAAAACAAAAGGGTATGAAGGAAAATATAAATATTAGAGTCAAAGGGAAGTATGACCAAACAATATAAATGAACTGATAGTGCTTGAAAGTTCAGACTACGCATGCTTCAATCAAGAAGAGTCAGAATAGCTTTTGCATCACACATCAACTTTGCTTACTACAAATGGAAGTAAAGACATTGGAACCCCATATGCTAAAGCCCATAAAGCTTCTGCAGGGCTGCAGGCCGCATCCTTGTAGCTACGTGTACTTTCCCAAGCACCTCAGTAGGTCGTCTGAGCATTCCTAAAACAAAAAAAATATCTTTTCAGGCACCAAAATTACCTATTTGCCCTTAGTAATCGTTACAATATCCTAGAAAGATGTTGATTTTATTTTCCCTTAGTATATGAGGTCCTTGAGCATTAAATTTGTTTCCGACAACTCAATTAATTCACTCTGAGATTAATCAATTAGTCCAATATGATTCCTAATCTTGAAAGCTGATTTTGCTTAAAACGGCTTAACAAATGATCACTTTATGAGTTTAATTGTTTAGTTCGACATCAGATTCATAACCTGGACATTACTTTCGTATGGATTAACATGAGAATCTGAATTAATTGAAAGAAAATTAAACAAAACCTGCAGTCAATACCTGAGAAGGAAGGACGAATGATTTACCTAAGAAGGAAGGACAAATGGATTTCCAGCATGGTGATAATCTTTCATATGTATTAAGCCAAATTGCTTCAACTGGTACATCAAGAGAATTCTCGAAAGGTAACAAAAGGCAATGAGTGCATCATATGGATTATCGATAAGGGTTAATGTTGATCTAAACCCTAGAAATCACTCCAAAAGGGTCAGCGATAGGAGGGGGAAATGATTTTCAATGTAAGATAGAGGAGGTTGTTGCGAACCCTAGAAATCACACGACATCGATAATAATGAAGAAGCTAAGGGGGGTGTTTGAGAATGATGTATGTTATTGTTCTGGATGTGTAGTTGAGAGGCATCGTGCTTGAAAGTGGTTGCAATCAACATTTATTTTTGGTAGACGATAAGTGAAGCGAGAAGTTCAATCGATGTTTTTAGAGTGAAATTGGAGATTGGAGAGCCGAAGAGGAAAGAATCACAGAAGCCATAATCGCCAAAATCGACGAGTCTTTCAGTAGATGGTGATGAAGAAGAAGACCAATCAGAATGACCGATGAAAGAAACAGCACCAAGGTAGAAGGATGACCGAAAAAAGGCATGCGAGCATCTGCAAAATCTAGGAATTGAAATTAGGGCTAAAAATCAAATCGAGATATGGAGTGAGGTTTAGAGAATGAAAAATACACCTGTTGCAAGAAACACAGGCGGATAAACAGAAGATTATGCGATGTTTCGGTATGCAAAGGCGGTAGGGTGCTTATCAAAAGCTTTGAGAAGCATCTGAGTCGGTGTTCTTATCAAAAGCTTTGAGAAGCTTTGAGAACCATCATAAGTCGTAACAACTATAGGTGCATTCTTCATGTTTCTTCTCTTTTCGTCTCTGTCTCAGAGGGAGACTAGGGCTTGAAATTTGTTGATCTTCAGAGTGACACTAGAGTAGAGATCTGATGATTGCGAAGATGAAAGATAGAAAGAAGTAGAAAAGAACAAGGCGGGTTTTCAAAATTTTAAGGATTTAATTTTCCCCCGTATCTACTAAACACGCGCGTTCATTAAAATTATAAAGCGACACTTACAGAGGACGCCCTTTAAGATACAGCGCCCTCCGTGTTTTTAATTTTTTTTTCTTTTGACACTATTTTAAGGGCACGCATTAATGCGTGATCTAAATCCTTAAATTTTTTGAAGAGATAACACTTTTTTAATGTCACTCTCATTTGCGTAACATAAATCAACGAGTGTCATTGTTTGCGCGTCGTAAAAGATTCTTTTTCTTGTAGTGTCCTTAAGCCATATCTAAGCACTAGAAGGGACTTGGAAGGGTTTTGGGGCTTCAAAACCCCTTTAAGGGAGTTTACGGTTTTGGGAGGTGTTCCCAAATCGTACACACAAGTTCTTGATGCAGTTGGATGGTTTAAACATGAATTGGCATGATAAACAAGCTTAGTAACAAGCTAGGATAGATTACTTACCAATTTGAAGCTTGAAAGGGGTGTTTTTGGATCAAACTCAAGTTTTAGAGAGAGAGTAGAGAGAGAAAGTTGTGAGGGTAGGTAAAAGTCTTCAAAAGATGACCACTAAACCTTTATATACGGGTTGGGTTTGTGGCCCGGTGGAAATCTACCAGATACCGACATTAAACGGGGTTTAAAATTTTACCCCATTAAATTGCCGTAATTATTATGACTTAGTGGTAACTAAAATTTTCCAAATAAATAACGAGGGTATTTTTACGCGTTTCTAATGGGTTTGGACACTCATGAGTTCATAATAAAAAGTCCCACTTTAATTAATTTAAACCAAAAGTTAACGGAAAAACTGGAATACGAACGGTTTTATTAACGGAAACGGGTTACAGTGACGGAATAAATTACGGATTGTCACATTAGCCAAGGAACCAAGAGATCATGGGAGATCCAGACACATTGATAGAAAATATCACTTCATCAAACATCAAATAGAAGAAGGAATCCTCATGGCAAAGAGGGTATCATCGGATGAGAAGCCATCAGATCCCCTCACGAAGGGACTGACTCGGGCTAACCATCTCCAGCATGCTCGGAGCATAGGGCTGAAGGATGATATTAGTTTTAGTAGTTAGATAATCTTGAAATTTATAAATTGTAATTGACATTTGATGATAAATAAAAGCTGTTATTTATGAGTAAAGTGTTGCTATCTCTTATCAACCGTTTCCTATATTTCTTTTGCATGTTTTGAATTCCAGAATAATTATGTTATGCTTTATATCATATTATTCAAACTCTCCACAGTCGGTTATATGATGGAAGTAGATATGAATCAAGACTGTCATGGGTTGGCTTATAGTGGTCTAAGATGTTAGACAAAGCAGGGCTACAATACTCATGAGTGCTCATAAGTTATAAGTATTAGATTCAACCCATGCTTACCTGTATCACTTCATTGAATTTATCTCGAGTGATCGTGAGACGGTAATATCATATAAGTCTTCAAACCTAGAGATATGATTTGTTGCCTAGGAGTTGGTTATGCATTGATTGTACGAAAATGCATTAGTAACTCGATGTTTTAAAACGTACCTTTGTGTGTAATTCAACAAGTAGTAGAGAAAACATATGAGTCGAAGTTTATCTGTTCCTTCTAGGATTAGAAGCGATATCTGGGCCCCTCGATGATTTTGTTTTGACCTATGTACCGGGCCCGGTCAGAACTAAATTGATGTGTTCAATTAAGTTCTTTGTCAAACAAATCGGAAATTGGGAAACAAATGCTGGACAATAAGCAATACCATGTTCCATGTATTTGTCCGGCTGAGTTGGCTCAGTAGTGGGTCTGGTTAGTTGGGCCATCCTTGGGCTGTTAGCCTATATGGACCTTTGGTCTTGGGCCTTGGTGGGCCCAATGAGTTGGGTCAGTAGTGGGTCTGGTTAGTTGGGCCATCCTTGGGCTTAGTGTTGGGTTGTAGCCTTACATAGTTTTTAATTATGGTGTTAGGTTGTTTTGGACAGTTTAAGAGCCAATACGCAGCAGCAGCGACAATGTAGGATTTCTCGTTTAGCGGTTAAGGCGAGTCTTATCACTATACTTACCTGTGTGCTAATTTATGTGTGGTCGGAGGGGTCTTATTCGTGTTATTGACCAGAGGGTCTTATTTGCTTATATTGAGATATGTGTTATTATGCATTCTGTCTTTGTGACTTATGATGTTATATCATTATGTGCATATATTGAGTTATGACCGGAGGGTCCATACCGAGATGTGAGACCGGAGGGTCTTCACCAAGACACATTACCGGAGGGTCCTTAACGAGATATAGCCATGAGAGGCTAATTATTTGTGTATGTGGTATTTTGGGGAACTCACTAACTTTTGTGGTAACCGTGTTGAGTTAAATGTGTTTCAGGTACTTTTATAGATGTCGGGAAGGCGGAAGCATGATTGTACACATCCATCGGCGTATGGAGATTTGAGGATTTTTGGATACTTGGATATTATTTGATAATAACTTACAATTTTTGTGATGATCGAAATTTATGAGCAATATTTTGAGAATTCAAAATGAAAAAATTTTCTTGAAATTTGAGGTGTTACAAAACGAGATTTGAAGATGTTGTGAATAGGAATCCATTAATATAAAGACAGTCGAGAACGGAGTTCGTATGAAAAAGTTACGAATTTTACACAAACTTTTACAATGTCATCTTCATACACTGTTAAATTTAAAGTAGGATGAGAATTAGCCGAGAGTGTCTAAATGAAAGTTTTAGTACTCGTCAATATCTACGCGTGGATATAAATAACGTCAAAAATGAAACTCGTATGTGATAGTTATGATTTTTTTATGATTGCAAAAAATACAAGCGAAACAAATGACGTAGTAGTGGATGAAGGTGTCGGCGCACGTCTATCTAGACGTGGTGTGCTTCTAACTAGCATACATGAGATACACTTGGCAGGCTGTGGATACGCCATGCATGCTCACTCATCAACACATGGTAGGCTAAGAGGGAGTTGGCACGCTTCTATCTA